TTGAGCTGTCTAAGAAGTTTCTTGACACCACTAAGAATCTGCCTGGTTTTCGCATCCTCTGCTTGACCTGTTTCGATCACAGTTCAAAGTCCAATCTGAAGTTGCTAGTACTGGAAAATGCTTCATCCAGGGTCATGCTGGAAGAATTGTTGGGTCTTGTTTTTAATTCTGACTCTTCCAGTCCTTCATATGCTCTGAGGAAAAGATGGTATATGACTTGGCCACAACTAAAATGTGAGTTCACTAGAGCTCATTGAAGACTAGGGAATTTCCTTATAAGCCAAGGCCATTTTCATCTTATTAACATTCCCATGTGTTCCAGGAACCTTAGGATTATCTGGGTTCTGCATTTCTCCCATGCACCTTCTAGGCTGACTGCCCTTTACTCCCACAGGCCATAGGGTTCTCCTGTCCCAATAACAGAAGTCTCAGATCCTCATCTACCCCTGCAAGAGCCACAATGACAGAGAAAAAAAGCTTAGCAAAAGCATGTAGTCATGAAGACTAAAGACACCAGCAGAGAAATGCATAGCACCTGGTCCATTGACCTAAAACTTGATCAATTTAGAATGCAGCATTCTTTTATGAGTTAATTCTGTAGTTAAATTTATAACCCAGGCCCCTGAGAAGAGCAAAGAAAGAAAAATGGCACTTCCACTCTGAAGGTTCATCCACTACTTATATTCCTGGTCAGGCACAGTGTCTGTGTAACAGAGGCACTTCTCCCTCCTTTCCTTCCCCCCCCCCTTTTTTTTTTTAAGCAAATTCACAAGCTGTGCCATAGGGCATATTTGCTGAACTGTGGCTGGGGAATCTCCAGCAAGAATCATGAGGCAGAACAATTTCAAGCTTTACTTGGCATTGCTCTTATAGGCTGGAAAGACCTCCAATCCTTTGCAGGGGCTGGGACTTGGCTCTCCATCATTATCAAGGCTTTGTAGCACAGTACCGAAGTTGTTGAAAGGCACCATGGAGAACATGTTTTATTGTGCTTGGCTTTCTAACCCCAGGTCTGAAAAGTTATACTCTGTTAGACCTTCATGGGGGTCGGAGTGCTATGGCAACAGCCAATGCCAACTCCTTCCCAGGTGACCTGAAAATTTTGTCTCTGAATTTGATTCGAAACCTTTCTCTGCCTTATAATCACATTTTTATCTTTATTTTGGTCAGTATATTCACTATCATGCTCCTTTTATCCCTGCACAGATGACCTCAGTACCCTCAAGAATACAAAACCATAGTTAGATCATGTTGCTCATTCACATAGGCTCTTAGAATACCTTTGTGGATCAGAATCCTAGGTTCACATTCTGAGTTTGCATTGTTTTGCTCCTAGACTGATACCTTGATGGAGAAAGTGGACCAGGCATTCAAGTAGTAGGCTTTCGAGAACTTTAGCAGGGTTACTAAAGTCTCTCCACAACAAGTTTGGTTAGAAATCCAGGCCTCCTACTGTAGACATTTGGATAGACTGTAACCTAAGAAGGGTCACCTTGTACATAGAAGATACCTCCAAATAGTCCTACTATTTTATATCCTAACACAGGGGAAAGGTTTAGCAGCCAGAATATAGCTATTCTCCATCTCCAAAATACCGTTCACCACACCCCCAGGAAACTTAAAGCATGAGGCTCTGCTCTGATGGTTATAATGACTGCCTTGCTAACATAGTTCTCCACTGTCTGCTGGCCTAAGCCTCAATATTCTCGGGTAAGGTCATTGATGGCCATTTCCCAGCCAGTAGTAAAACATCCTAGTCTGAGAATGGATGTTTTTCCTCTCACCATTTGTAGATGCTTAATTCACTCTGTCTGCCTTAAACCGTATGGCCCCTGTCATCCCTAAAGTGCTTTTTGCTAACATAGTTTCCATAGATTCCATAGAGTGTCATAGCACTCATTAAATAGTTCATTGCGCTTGCTTATCCTACATTGTAAGTTTGGTGGGAACAAGGGCTTTCTCTCCCTCACCATTTTGTCTTCAAGTTTTAAAACCATGTCTAGCATTCAGGTATTTACTGAATAAATAAGTAAATGTGGGCATGTAAATAGGAGCTGTGCCCTGTTTGCTCTTAATTGACCGCTCCCTGATTTTGACCTCCTGTCTAACTAGACCTGTACTATCTTGTCTTTTCTACCGTACCTTGTTTCCCATGTCACTTCTGAACAATGTGATAATTTTGCCCCATCTAACGTGATTTTGGGGGGGGGAGTCAAATAATCATTGCTCTCTTCCCTGATTTTACTGAAGGCCCAGGGAGGTCAAGTGAGTTGATCAAGATTATAGAGCAAATCTATATGCCTAATGATTGCTACACTTGTCCCTTGGCAGATTTACATCTTTGGCTGGATGTGGCCAGTAAACATTATCTAGAGCCTCTTTTTTTTTTTTTTTTTTTTTTTTTTTTTTTTTTAATTTTTTTCATGTTTATTTTTGAGAGAGAGTGTGAGTGGGGAAGGGGCGGAGAGAAGGAGACAGAGTCTGAAGCAGGCTTGAGGCTCTGAGCTGTCAGCAGAGAGCCTGACACGAGGCTCGAACTCATGAACCATGAGATCATGACCTGAGCCGAAGTCGGATGCCCAGCTGACTGAGCCACCCCGGTGCCTCTAGAAGCTTCTTTCAAGTCTTGCCCCTAATCAGGTTTCCTAAGCACCTGCAGCCAGTCTAATAACTGTTCTCCATCTCCAAAGTACCATCTTCAAAATAATCAGCTCTTGGAGAGTAATCATATGCTCCCACCCCTTGGCACCACCACTTTATTCTTGGAATAAAGAATGTTAGATGAGGTAATATCAAGCTGATTTTGAAGTCACAGCCTTGTCATATACGTAGGATGAGAGATGGGCAGAGCCTTGGGACATGCGACCATTTCAGGGAGGGAAGGGGTGAGAGGACTGTAGCTTAAAGAGGTTAAAGTTTGGGCACTTGTGTCTTTTTTAAGTCAAGGTGGAAATGGGTAGTAGGGTAGCCAGAGAAGGATCCAGTGGGGTGGGGCAGAATAAAGATGCAAGAAAGAGGTGTGGAAAGTAGTTGCTGGATCAGGGTGGAAGGGCTTTGAGCTTGAAGTACCCCACTTCAACAAAGAGTGAAGAGAAATATTGGAGACATATTAGTGAGAAGTAGGAAGTTGTGTCCCAGGAAGAAAGCAAGGTCCCCGCAAAAATGAGGTGGGCACAGAGGGAGTTAGGGCATGAGGAGGTGGGAAGAATTTGAAATAGGAAGCAACCATCCTAGGGGATATTGGAATCTCTTGCAGCACTGATGGACCCAGGAATGAAGGCCCTGCTGAGGTGGGATAGCATATCCTGAGACCAGGCTGCCAGGTTTGGTGACTTCCATTGTAGTATCAGTGGTCTGGGATATGAAGCAGGAATGAGTGGTGGAAGGACAGTGAAACGGGGAATCTGCCTACTAAGTGGTGTATCTGAGCAGGGCATACAGGTCAGGGAGCAAGGTCTGTGAGGGTCAAAAGTAGATAGAAGCTGAGGGCCTAGAAGGAACAGGACAGGGTGATGTGCATACAAGTAAGGGTGAGATTATATTTGGTCTGGGGAGAGGAGTAGATCAATATGTACGTTTTCTTCTGTCACTTTGAAACCTGCAAATTGATACATAAAAAATAATTCCTCTTCCATAGCTAAAGTACGGTTGTATGTTCTTAGTAGTTGGTATTTTTCTCCCCACCACTGTTAATTTCAACACTGTTTTCTCTTCCCATTTGGCTTGAACATCTGGAGGTTTCCCACCCGCTCCTGTTCTGAGGTCAGCCTTCTAACTCCTGTCATTTTGGTCTAGCTCAGTGATCCTTAGCCTTGGCTACGCACTGGACTCTGCCAACAGGTGCCTGAGCCCTACTCCACAGAATCTGATTTAATGGGCCTGAGGTTTTTTGTTTTTGTTTTTTAAGCTCCCCAGGTTGATCTTTCCAAGTGTTCTCCCAGCCAGGTGTTCTCCTAGGTGGGAGTGAGGACTCCCATTAATGTGTCACTCATGTTGGGGACAACCTCGTGAACACAGGCACACTTCTGTAGCCACAGCCATATCACAAGCATGGCTAAGCATCAGGACTCTGGAGTCAGATGCCTGGGTTCCTCTCAGTTTTGTAATCCCAGGCAAACTCTATATCATCTAGAATCCTCAGTTTCCCAATATGCTGATGAGAATAATCATAATAATGCCTGAAAAAGGGTTAAAGCAGATAATGTAATAAGCTTATTAGCACAATGCCTAGCACATAGACATACTTAACGAATATTAGGGTTTTTTGTTAACATTTTTGTTGGGATTGTGTTAGTATTGTTTCTAATATATGGTTTGTCCATAGGACCACACAAGTTAAGTTTAATTTCTTCCACACAGTATTTATTTTGTATGTATACATTGCTTAAATGAAGGAAGATTGTAAGCTATCTTGTTTTTAAATTAAAAAGCAAAAAAAGCTTTCTGACTGCAGTAACAGGCCATAGGGTTACAGTAAAAAGATGGCAGGGGTTACTTTTCTAAATATTTAGTTTCCATTTGCTTGGTAAGAAAGTAGTCACAGGTTGGCTCTGTCAGAAACTTGCAGATTTCATAAAGGGCTGAGTGTGGACTACGATTTTTCTAGAATCTCACTCTGGCAGGAACCTGCCCAATGATAATTCAGTTATATCTTTTACTTTTTCTCAATACTATTTACGCAACACCTCTGCAATATTTATGCCATGTAGCTACTGTTTTCAGTGTTATGTAAAAAATAAACAAAAAACCTGCCCCCTTAATGCCTATCATTCTGGCAGGTCCTTAGTGGGTAGTACTACCTTTCTGATGAAAGGTATTTCATCAGATATTTCTGATGAGCTAGCTGCCTGCCCCCACCACAAAATGATCGTTCCAGGGGTCAAAACTCTTGCTAAAAACAACATTAAACGTCTGATGGATATTAACATACTTGCATTTACAAGCAGTGAAATTTGTCGTCTTCATGTTGTTATTTATGCAGCATTAACCTTTTTCTCCAGATCATTGAGACTGAAAATATGATGGACCGAATTGTGACTGGCTTGTCTGAGTCTAGTGTCAAGGTGCGGTTAGCTGCCGTCAGGTATGAGCTTTAAATGGTCTGAATAAAAACCCTTTGCCGTGTGTTTAACCTGTTTCCTTTCCGGACCTTCACTGAGTAAGCGCAGAATCCAAATGTTACTCAAAAGTATTCTCAGGTGAACTCATACAGTGTGTAGCATCGTTTAACAGAGAAGCTAGCTTGAAAAGCCCGTGAAGCCCTGAAGTAGTTGAATTAACAATGTCTATAGATATACTTGAAGTGCATATCAGTAATTAGTGAAATGCCAAGCAGTGTGTTTGAAAAGTAAAAGTTTGAGCTTCTTTTGAAGCTAATTTTGATTGTTCTTTGTAGATGTTTGCACAGTTTATCTAGATCTGTGCAGCAGCTTCGAACCAGTTTCCAGGATCATGCTGTGTGGAAACCTTTAATGAAGGTAAGAAGCAGCAAGCAGCACCCATTCCCACAGAGTCTTTCGTGAGTTGAGGTAGCTGACCGCCCTCCCGGTCTAGGAGCATGGCTGATGTTTGTTTAAAACATTTTGAATATTTATCTCCTCAAATCTGATGTTGTAAGCATCTCAAGGTCTGCTGAACCTGTTTCCAGGGTCAGCATCTCAAGTGTGACAGGGAAACAGGTGCCTAGTTATCTTTTCTTAAATGAAAGTTTAGTTTTTCATCTTATCTCCTTGTATGTTTGGTATTATTACACTTTAGACTTGATCCAAAGTCTTTGTAATTTTTAATTATAAGAAGGAAAGAAATCAGCTATTTAGAGATATAACTTGTTCCTAGTCTTTTGGGAATCCCTGGATATTTTTTTTACCACAGTGTTATCTTCTGCTTCTCTACACCAATATCACTTCTTTGGTCTTATAGCTTTCCTTGAGGGCCAAAAACAAAAAAGTCGTTCAGGCCAAATAAGTCTGAATCAAGACTTCAACTAGGCATCAGGTGGCTGCTGATGTCCGCCCCCCCGATATATTACAGAACCATAGGTCAACTTGGTCTCTGGTCCACCATTTTTTTTTTTTTTTTTTTTTTTTTTTTTTTTTTTTTAAGTCATCATACACCTTGCATTTAATTGACAGAATTTTTTTTATTTAAGTTTTTGTTTTTTGTTTTTCAGTACCTACTATGAAAATCTCTGGGCACACTACAGACCACTTGCTCTCATCTTAAAGCTTCAGGTTACAGTAGAGACATCATTGTGGTAGAAATAGGGGAGGCTTCAGGCAGGAAACATACGAAGTGGGGCTTTGAGGGAAAAAAGGAAGGCGGGAGGATTTTCCAGAGGGAGGAACAGCATGAGCAGAAACACTATGTATGGTCCATGTAGGTAGGAAGCATAAGGATGTCTTCATACTGTGGTAGAGGGGTGGGGTATTAGCACCAGGTGAAAGAGTTGGACCAGTGCTCTCTTCAGGAAGGCTGTTTTGCGATCGGCACTCTTGTTTTTAGATGGCACCTTTTTCATAGCATAATCTGGATTCATTGATTCTGTCCATTCAAGATTTTTTTTCTTTTTTTTTAATGCCTTGCTGTTTCCCAAAATAATTCCCAAATATTTCCTCTGGAGCCATTTTCTCTAATTGCTCAGCTCATATGAATCAGAAGTGGAACAACATGCTGTTTCTAGCTAGTTCTACCTGGGCAAAGGTTTGGTGAGCCATGTAGAAGGATTTCGTTCACTTGGGTACATGTGAGTGTATCAAACTACTACTTTGTTGCACAAAATGTAATACTAAAAGCTTAGAAGTAAATCATTGATTTATTTCAGATACTTTTAGGTTTCTGTTCAAAGGCTGTTTGCATGGCTATTGATTTTTTTCCCCTTTTGCTTTGCTATGTTTTCAACTATTGGTTAGCAAACTATAGAAGAATAGGCATTTGATTTTAATTAAAAATTTATTTGTTGTCATTTTTTGTCCTTATTTTGGTGAAATTCTGTTTAGTCAGTGTTAGATGTCTGCTTCTGAATTTCAGTGTTATATCTTACACTACATTGAGTAATGCTTTTAAAATTGTCATAGAATCTATCCTGTTTTTATCATTGTTACCTCATTTGAAAATAAAACTCGATAAAAGTGCATTAATCTCTATATAACAACGTATAGTATTTTTAAAGTCAATTATTAAAGCAACTTTTTAAAGCCTTGGTAGGCACTCACTTATTTCTACCAATGATTCTAAGTAGTATAATTTTTGCAAAATGATTGCTTTCCTTTTTTTTAAATTTTTTAAAATGTTTTATTTATTCTTCAACGTTTTTATTTATTTTTGGGACAGAGAGAGACAGAGCATGAACGGGGGAGGGGCAGAGAGAGAGGGAGACACAGAATCGGAAACAGGCTCCAGGCTCTGAGCCATCAGCCCAGAGCCTGACGCGGGGCTCGAACTCACGGACCACGAGATCGTGACCTGGCTGAAGTCGGACGCTTAACCGACTGCGCCACCCAGGCGCCCCTGTTTTATTTATTCTTGAGAGAGAGAGAGAGAGAAACAGACAGAGCATGAGCGAGGGAGGGCCAGAGAGGGAGGGAGACACAGAATCCGAAGCAGACTCCAGGCTCTGAGCTGTCAGCACAGAGCCCGACGCGGGGCTCAAACTCACAAGCCTTGAGATCATGACCTGAGCCAAAGTCGGACACTCAACCAACTGAGCCACCCAGGCACCCCTGTTCTTATTAATTCACATTCTTTGAGCACCCCTTTTGTTCACTGCCATTCAGTTGATAGGGGCCAGGATAAATTAGACCATAGATAGATTAGTCCTTTAAGAAGCTTAAACTTGTTAATAGCAAAGGAGATTGGCATGGCTGCACAAAGAATTTGAATAGTGGGCCGTAACAAGGGTCCTAGGAAAGGTCAGAAACTAAGGCAGGAGGTGTTCAGAGGAAGATGGAACAGCTTCTGACTGGAAGGGCTTCAAGGGAGCTTGTGGAATGGGGATGAGCTTAAAGAACGGGTAGGGCGTGTACCTGAGGGATATAGGAAGGGAAGGATATGGAAAGGGAAGATACATAATCTCAGAGGGGGTTGTGGCAAACACAGAGATCAGGATGCATAGTATATGAGATTTGATCTTCATCAACTAGGTAACGGTGCACAGGAGAGTTAAAATGCGGTATCTTAAAAGAACTATTTCTATTTTGTAATTCTTGCTTATTCTTGGGAACTTCAGCCTTGATTTAGCTGATGAAAGCAGATAACATGTTTAACTCTGAATTTTTTTTTTTTTTGCGATGATCCATTTCCAGTTTGTATAACTAGATCTTCTAAGATTCCTTTTGGGATCATGAGTCCAATCCTGATCTGATCGCTGATGCAGAGGATTTAGTTGAAGTGGATATTCCATATAAGTGGTGGTGTTTCTGAAGCCTTCTCTCTTAGAAGCTAGAAACCACAGGTTCTGATAACAGCTAATGGTGACTAACACTTGTCATTGTGCTTTGCTGTCTTCCCAGTTGAGTGGGAGTCCATGGCAGTTTGTTTACTTCATACCTGTTATAGGTGGACGATAACAGTTATGACAATAAATTAACTTTAAAAACTTGCATTTCTGTGTGCCATTTACTGTTCTAAAATTTTTTCACATGTTAATTCTCACAACAATACCATTATCCCCACTTTACAGCCAAGGAATTAGTATACTTATTCAGTGTTGGAACTGAAGTTTGCATTCAGGAAGTCTGTGTTCTTTATTCTCATGTTGCTTCCCTTAACATTCACCGTATCACATTTAATCTTCAAAAGTCCTACGAAGGAAGTACAGTTTTCCTCAATTCAGAGACTCAGAGAGGTTAGGTAAACTTGAGCATATTTAAGTAAACTTGAGCATCTAGTAAGTGGATTAGGGTTGGGACCAGGGCTGTGATTCCAGTGCTGAAAACCAGTCCCCACATTGCCCTAGCTGTGTAGTAGCTTGACTCATCCATCCTCTTGGTCAAACAGGTCCTTCTAGAGACAACATACATCAGAACGTTTCAGGCCCTAGGGCAACTTTGTGGTTTCATAAGTGGTCTGATGTGATGGAGTAAATGGAGCTAACTTGTCCCAAAGCCATCCTGTGGTGTTCACACTTGTCGTATAGAGCACCCCCTCCCTGACTTGTGTTTGTCTCTTTCTGTGCAGCACCTGCCATCCTGGCGGTGGGGCTGTAGCTTCTCCTGCAAGATAGGTGCAAGGGTCTTAGTCATAATTAGAGCACCGGGTAAGGTTTGACACGGTATCAAGTGGATCTTTCCTAACTCTTTCTCTGATATGAAAAGTCACGTTACAAGATAAATTGTGTTTGGTTCTCATTTGTTCTTATGATCTCACCTTCATTGTTCCAAAGCATTAATAGCATCCCTTTTTTAAATTCCATAGGTTTTACAAAATGCACCAGATGAAATCCTAGTAGTAGCATCCTCCATGCTATGTAATCTTCTTCTTGAATTTTCTCCAAGCAAAGAGGTTAGTATCAATTTCTCTTCCTAGGCTTTGCCCAGTCTAGAGCTTAGTCAAATAATTTTCACAGCAGTTAACTGAAATTGCAGGATTGGGGTTTAAAAACTACTTCTGAATTGTTTGATGAGGGGTGTGCATGCAAATTAAATCATTTTTCAAAATACGGTTTTAATTTCCTATTCTCCCTTTTCTGTCTGGCATATGAAGCTCATTTAAAAATATTGTAGCTTACAGTTAACCTAAACTGCCCACAACTGCAAATGTAAGGAATAATTACAAAAGTAATAGACTATTTTCAAACTGTATATACTAAAGAATAAATGAAGACTCAATTTTATAAACCAGGATTGGAAATCGTTTAAAGGAAATAACTGCTGCCATTGGAAAATCATCTTTTTAATGTTTAATGTTAATGGTAGTTGTTTGGGGAGGGATTGCAAGTGGGAATATTTTTTCCCTTTTATACATTTTACAAATTACATGTGTATGTATTGTTTTTAGACTAGGGAAAACTAAAATAAGCTTTAATAAAGGAGGGAAGGAGCCTTATAAAGTTAGTTTTATTATGTGAAAATATCTCTGGTCTGCCCAGTTGCGAGCCAAGGGTTAGCCACTACCCTTTATTTAGTAGTTCCATTTTTGTTGAGTTTCTTTTTGGCATTGCAATACCTGTAGGCTTTTGACTATAATTAGGAAGGCATTTAGTAACAAGGTGGAGGTTCAGAGACAGTTATTCAGCCAGCAGAAATCTTGGAACAAACGGGGAGAGACTGGGAGTTATTCTGAAGGAAGAGAAAGTCTAGACAGGATGCCATAGTTTCCATCTGTTTTTCTCTGCCCTGGTCCTGGGGTTCTTGGCATGATGATGATCTGATTGCAGTCAGTAATACCATTTATCATCCCAAACAGCTCTTCTGTTGCCTCAGATCTACCTTCCAAATATATAGTCAGGGTCTGGTTAGAAGTGAGGTAGATGAGCTCAGGCATAGGATCATTAATGTGATTGATTTTTTTTTTTTAATTAAAGAAAATTTTTAAGTTTATTTTGAGAAAAGGAGCGTGCATGCACATGTGCACAAGCGGGGGAGGGGCAGAGAAAGATGGAGCGAGGGAATCCCATTCAGGCTCCGCCCTATCACTGTGGAACAGGGCATGAACTTAGGAACCGTGAGGTCATGACCTGAGCCAAAATCAAGAGTAGATGCTTAACAACTGAGCCTCTCAGGTGCCCCCATTTTTTTAATATTAAAAATAAACTGGACCCTGAACTGCAAGGGAAGGAAATGCTATAAAAGCATTTATTAGGCTAGTTGACAAAATTGACACACAGACTATAGATTTGATAAAAGTATTGTTTTAACGTTAATTTCTCTGAATTTGGTAACTGCTCTGTAGTTATCTAAGAGAACATCTTCGTACTTAGGAAATACATATTGAAGTATGAGGGGTATATGCTCTACTTTCAAATTGTTCGGAAAAAGGTAAATGTGGATATGGGCATACAGAAGGAGAGAGATAATGATGCAGCAAACACAGCAAAACGTTAAAAATTGTTGAATCTGGGAAAAGAATAAGTGGAAGTACCTTATACTATTCTTGCCGCTTTATGAGTTTGAAGTTACTTCCAAATAAAAAACAAACAAAACAGGAGGTGGGGAGATGGGCAAAATGGATGAAAGGGAATTGGGAGACACAGGCTTCTAGTTGTGGAACGAGTAAGTCTCAGGAGTGACAGGTATTGTAATAGCATCATATGGTGACGGGCTGTACACATAGCATGATGTATATATAAAATTGTTGAATCACTGTTGTACAACTGAAACAATGTAATATTTTGTGTCCACCATACTCAAAAAAGGTTTCAAAAAGAAAAAAACCAATTTGTACAAGTGGAGGAATGTGTACCCTTTTCCAAAAGTTTTTGAAAAGCACTGCCCTTTTTTTCCCCTGTGTAAGTCTGAATTGCTTAAGACAGTTCTGGAACCCACTTGAAAGGTAGCCTTTTAAGCATTCTTCGGTGACAGTAGATCTTTCCTCTAAGGTGTGAATTTTTTTTTTTTTTAGAAATTATTAAACCTGTTTTCAGCCAAGGATCCTAAGTAATAAAGTATGCTATGTTAGATGTAAAACGTGGCATGATTCTAAAAGTATGTGGCAGTTTTGTTCGTACCATTCATAGGTAGTCCTGACAGTAGTTCTAAAAGATGGGTTCTGCGGCATGTTTGGAATAACACTGACAATCTGGAAAGAAGAGTTTGGTTATGTAAGTTCCGTCTAAGCCACCATGTTGTCATAGTCCCAGCAGGTTAAGAACACGTGGGATACATGTGTGCAGCAGGCAGGGAGTGAGCATCTCAAATGACGGTGAGCATGAGAATGTGGAATTAGATAGTGGAATCATAAGGTCATGTGTGGAATGTACAGAAATTAAGACAACTCCGGAGTCTTTCAGAACTACATAGAAAAGAGAAATGACTGGGACTATTTTTAGTGTTGGAATTATTAAGAGAAGAACTGTTCTTGCCCTTCTCAAGGTAATTTTTGTATCCTTGTGAAAGTTGCTTGGAGTTGGGTGAGAGTAGGAAAGAAACCATAGACAGAGTGCCAGGGTATATATACATTCAGTCGCAAACCTGACTTTAAAACTGCATTTTTCCTTTCCAATCATAGCCAATTTTAGAATCTGGAGCTGTGGAACTACTTTGTGGATTAACCCAAAGTGAAAATCCCGCTTTGCGAGTGAATGGAATTTGGGCTTTAATGGTATGTTTTGTTCTTTTATATATGTCATCATTTACAAAGAGAATGGAGCTGTTATCAAAGTAAAAACTAAAGAATGTGTACTTTGAAATGTCTGCAATCTGCTTTTTAAAAAATGTTATTTTGGCCCAGTTTTCTAATGACCGAGGACCTGGAAGACTGAGTAGTCAACTTTCAGATTTGAATATAAACAAGTTGCACGTCCACTGGGTGCCACAGTTCTCCCATTTTATCATTAAGGAAAGTGGATACATGTTGAAACTGGACATCAAACATGGAGAAAGCCAATTTTCCTTATCATGAATATATTGATACCTGCCTTAAGCTACCTGCTTTACAAAGCCCTTTCATGTCTCCTTTGCTCTTTATAACAACTCTGAAATAAGATAAGCCGGGAGTATTCATATTTCACAGACAAGTAAACTCAAGCACAGAGTGATTAAGTAACTTGCCCAGTGTAACAGAACAATGCATAAGTGCTTAATAATTTCTTAACAACTTCTAGTAAATAATTTGTGATAATCTAAATTATAAAACTTTGTAACTATGAAGTCAATAACCATTTTTCCTTAAGATTTACTAAAATAAAATTTGTTGAAATTGAAAATGAAAATCCTACACGGATTTCTTCAAATATAATTATTGTAGTTACAATTTAGTTACTATGCATCAGACACTAAGCACTGTGTTTTATCTCTGATTCTTATTTTGAGTTATATTGGTTTATATCCACTTTATAATTGGGAAACTGGGACTTGGAGGGTAAATGAATCCTCCAGGTTGTCACAAGTAATAAGTGATGACAAAAGGTTCTGAACCTGTTTCAGACTCATTCTTCTTCCTGTTCCATGTATATCTGCTGTTTTTTCAGACAAACTTTGTGATAGAAATAATCATCTTCTAAGCAAACACCGAATTCAGTAGTTTCGGGTATTTTTCTCTTAAACTTTGCATCAGCTGTTAGCACTTCTCTTTCTTGAGACTCTTTCCCAGGAGTTAGCTTTT